TCAGAAGCCGGTGATGCTCATTGATTCTCAGGAGGTTGGGATACGATTGGCTCACATGTTTATGTGTGGAGCCAGTACAAGACAACGCAAACTACCTAACAACCATTGGTGAAACAAGATAAGATGCAAAATTACTACCTACCCTAAACAAATAAAAATAAGACGCACATGCTTTAATGAATTTGATTGGTTGAAATTTGTTCTCAATTTAATATATATATATATATATATATATATATATATATATATATATATATATATATATATATATATATATATATATATATATATATATATATATATATACTATGCTGAAATACAAATGCACACCACATATTATGTGATAAGCGTGAGGAAAAATGTTGGAAATAGATGTAGCTATAGATGGAGACCTATCAGATATAATTTTAAGCTCCTCCATATTTTCTATGTAATCACGTAGTTTTTGAAAAAACAATGTCCAAGAATCTGTATACTCATTTTTGCATATACCATATGCAACCGGTAATATTTGGTTTTGTCCATCCTTAGTAACTACAAGTAACATGATAACTTTGAACTCGCCCTTTAGGTGAGCTCCATCTACTACAAGGGTTGGTTTACAAAAATTGACAAAAGCGCGTACCTACAATAGATTGTATATCTATTCAAATACACCAAAATAATAATAACAATAATAACAATAATAATAATAATAATAATAATAATAATAATAATAATAATAATAATAATAATAATAATAATAATAATAATAATAATAATAAAATATTAAAATACTATCCGATCAACCAAGTGCGACGTACAAAAACTCAAAGCGATCATCATCATCTGTTTGAATATGTGTCACCGTACCCAAATTATGTTTGACCAAATTGTGGAAATAAGTCGGAAGTTTGGTAAAAGAATCTTCTTTCGTACCCCTTAAAAACAACAATGCATATTGCTTCGCACGCCAAGCTTGATGGTATGACATATTGATATTCAATTGAGCATTCATATCATTAATAATATCTTTTCCTCGATAAACTCTACTATAATATTCAGCCAAAACATCAGCAGGATATTCACCCAAAACATATTTGTTTGCTTGTCGATGATTATGTTGCAAAATTGTTGAAGAACATGTATGTACATCATAAAATTTATTCACTTGGAAACGTCCACCAGAATTTTTAATTCCTTTTGCTCTTAGTAACCAAGAACAATTTTTCGAAACACACACAACCTCATACCTTGATTTGGTGGATCTATTTGGCTTCTTCTGAAAACCTTATCGAATACATTTGTTCCCAATAGCCCATTTTAGAAGTTCATTGTTGTTAAATATACTCTCACATTCAATCTTTTGAAAATTGATGTCTACCATCTGTGTTGGGATATCTTCATTAATATCAACTAGACATGTTGGTACAGGAGGCATACCGTAAAAAAGGTTATCGGGGAACTTAGCTTTAACTTCATCACCCACCTCATCTCCATCTGAATTGCTTTGTAAGTCGGTTATATCTAAAGCTACATCAACAACACCAACATAATCCTCATAAACATGCATTTTTTAATCTTTTTCAGTCATAATTTTTTTTCTTTTTACTTTTATCTACTACACACACCTATTAATAACTTTAACTTCTTGTTCGGGAACATCAACATAAACACCACCCACATCATTAAGATATATACCAACATCATCATCACCAACATACTTGTAATTCTCAGGATCCACATACTGAATAAGTGAATAATTAACATTAACATTTTCAGTAACACTGTGAAATTGAGGTACACTAGGAGTATAGAAAGTAACTATCGGATTGTTTCTCCTTTTATAGTTTCATAAATTAGCAACCGACTGATTTCCACTCTGGCCAACATCATTAACCTCATCTCCCTCATCAACCACAATAAACACTTTCACAGCCATTCCTCCACTACATGTGATTACATTTATCAACATTTTAACATCCATGTCTTCAACCATGACTATATAATGATTCAATTCAGGATGATGGAAACGAAGACTAATTTTATATTTGTCTAACAAGCCAATTTTGCTTCTCACCAAAAATACAAACTCACTATAACTAATATATTCAAAAAATATCAAAGCAAATTCAGAAATACCTCCCTGTGGACATACATATTCCAGATTTTTTTCACTAACTTGCCATCTCCCACCAGTTACAAGACAAACCACATATTAATCATTATTTTTAGAGATACTTTTACAGATACATTCTAAAGAAATATCAAGTAAACTGAAAATTATTAACTAATGTTTATATATAATAAAGTTATTTCGTAGTCAAACCCATTGATTTCATAGTAAATAATAATAATAATAATAATAATAATAATAATAATAATAATAATAATACAAGAAAATCACATATACAATAGAAAGGAAATCGCAGATAGACTACATAGTTCATATGTGATTTTAGCCGGGAAAAGCCTATATATATATATATATATATATATATATATATATATATATATATATATATATTATATATATATATATATATATACAATAAATAAATAAACCACCTGCGAATGTACAAGTGGCTAAAGCACAAACGTGTTTTAGTCACTTATACATTCGCAGATGGATAGGCAAAATCGCAGATGGACTATTCCCATCTGCGATTCCAGTGACTATATTTGCAATTTCGATTTTTTTTGCTATTTTCCACATCGTAATTAAGGTATTTGGCTAAATTTGCAATTGTTTTATATATATATATATATATATATATATATATATATATATATTATATATATATATATATATATATATATATATATATATAGGTTTAGGTTCATGTGAGACGGCCTAATTGTGTGAGATTGTGAGACACAATCCTAGCCACTCATTTATTAGATAAAACAAAAACATTTTTAAAATGCAAAATAATTAAAAATTTTCGAAAGTTATTTTTTTCCAATATTATTTTCGGAATATAGATTTTACAAAAAAATAAAAAAAAATACCAAAAAAATAAAAAAAAATATGTTTTTTTTACATATTTTAGTAGAATATTTGGAATATTCTACATATATGGCAAATCTAGTAGAATATTCTAAAATTAGAATTATCATATTAGAATATGTACAGTGTAATATTCTATTAAAGTATTTCACGTATTTAAAAAAAAATTGTATTTTTTTTAGTTAAATAAAGTTCCAAAACTAATAATTAAAAAAAGAATTTTTGGATTTTTCCTTTTATTTTGCATTTTAAAATTATTTTTAGATTTGCTATTACGGTTTCACAAAATTAGCATGGTCTAAAATGAGCCTGATATGTATATATATATATATATATATATATAGGGTTGAGATCGGTTGAGAACTCAAAGTTTTCCGAAAACCCGAGAACTAAAATTGGAGTGTTGGATCAAAAGTAATTATTTAAGGATATGATCATCATCTTACCAATCTAATTTAATGTTTAACTTTTTTGTGTTATTTAATATATTAATATAAATGTCTAAAAATTAACAAAATAACTCAAAATTTCGGATTTATTTTTTTTTAAAAAATAATTTTCAATTTTTTAAAAAAATGGAGATTTTTTAATTTTTTTCAAAAATCATGAATTTTTAAAAAAAATGAAAAAAATATTTTTTAAAAAACTGCATCTATTTTTCAAAAAAAACTGCATTTTTTTTTAAAAATTGATTTTTTTTTTTAATTAAAAGTTGTATTTTTTTTTTTCAAAAAAAATGCAATTTATATTAAAAAAATGCAATTTTTTACAAAACTGCATTTTTTTAACAAAAAAAATCAACGTTTTAGGTGCATATATGTATATTTTTTCAAATGCATATATGCATATTTCTTATACTATAATATTTGTAAGTAGATTATAAAATTCTCATTTTTATTAATCAATCTATAAACATAATACAAATATTTTATTCGATACAAAATAAAATATAAAAAAACTTCAAAGATTTACAATGTTTTCATTTATTCATATCAGCATTTCTATATTTTCTTCAATTTATCACTTTTCACATCTTCAATATTTTCAACAAATTCTTCAAAACCTACAAGAAAAAAATTGATTAATGGAAGAACACTCAGAAAAATGCACAAGTATATATCATGTAAGATTCACAGGTGATAATCTCATGTAAGATTCAAATGTGATTATATAGTGTAATATTCATATGTGATTGTATTTTTTAAGATTCAAATGTGAAATTCACAAGAAAATAAAAAAAATTATTAACAAAGACCACTCACACAAAATGCATGTGTGCATATTGATGTAATACATATGTGATTCACTAGTGATTTACATGTGAATCACATGTAATTCATATGTTATTCATTTGTGATTTACATGTGAATCATATGTAATTGATATGTGATTCACTTATGATTTACATGTGATTAATATGTGAATTACATGTAATTTATACGTGAATCATATATGAATTACATGTGAATCACATATGAATTACATGTGATTCACATATAAATCATATATGAATTAGATGTGCTTCACATGTAAATCACATGTAATTTATATGTGAATCACATCTAATTCATATATGATTTACATGTGAATCACATGTAATTCATATGTGATTTACATGTGAATCACATGTAATTCATATATGAATTACATGTGATTCACATGTGAATAACATGTGATTTACATGTGAATCACATCTAATTCATATGTGATTTATATGTGATTCATATGTGAATAACATGTGATTTACATGTGAATAACATATGATTCATATGTGAATTACATGTAAATAAGAACAAAAATTGCAAGAGAAAAGTTCTTGGGAACAATATTGAAAAAAACAGCAACACTCAGGGACCAAAATTGTAATTTACTCTAAAAACAAATTTGAATCTCATTCTCACCACTTCAAATGTGTCAAGCAATCTACCAAGCTGGTGGGCATGTTGCTCCTCGTCATTCACACCATCTAGCATTATGTAATCACTGAAAATCTTTTGTTGACTGTAAAGTCAATAATAGAAGGGTATTCTAGTAATTTTACACTTTGAGAAAATAAAAAAAAAAAAGAAGAAAAAAGAGCTACCTTTTCTTTTGATATTCTGCTAAAGCATTCATAAGTTTTTTTAAAGGAAAAGCGCGAGCTGCAGGCATTATTTGACACCTAATATCTTGAATTGGTGCATGAAGAGACACTGCTAGGTTTATATTTTGTAAGTCACCATAAAGCTTGTTTATTGCATGAATTATTCGAACCTACAAGAAATTATGAGAATAATAGATATGAATCCAGAAATGTTCTTAAAAAGACTAATATTAAGGATGTAAAATGGAGCAAACAAAACAAACCGTTACGACAGTAATTTTCTTAGGTGAAAGCTGAAAAGGGAATGTTGTCATTACTCGAATAACTTCAACTAAACCATTGTAGTTGTTTAATGGCTCTCCCATTCCCTGAATACAAGATGATGGTATTAGTTGTAGTGACATAAATTTCAAGGAAAACAAGTTTTTTTTGAGGTATTTACCATGAAAACAACATTGCGAATGGGTGATAATCGAGAAGAATGTACTAATTGCTCTACAATCTCTCCTGTTGAGAGGTTGCTCTTGAATCCCATACTTCCAGTTGCACAAAATGTGCAACCCATTTTGCATCCAACCTGTTAAAGAGAATGATTCACATACATGTGTTGTGAAAGACCCTAACTTTCGTATTTATGAAAGACCCAAACTTTCATACACGACAATATAGTTACTCCAAAACATGCTACTTGCATATTCATAAAAACAATATTTTACAATGATAAAGAGGTTACAAACTACTGGATACAAACCGACTATTTTAAAGTGTTATATATTACATAACTTTACTTCCCAAGATTCTATAGTTTTATACATATAGGAGTGCAAAATACAATAGTTTCAAACTATTCATAAGTTTCTATCGATACAATAGTTTCAAACTATTCAAAAATCTTCTACCAGTATATAACTTATACTGGATGCTTATCTCCTGCAAATTTGTTAAACATTGAGAGGATAAGCGGTGACGCTTAGTGAGTTCAATAATAGATACAATATAATGTTATGCCATATATATACTTCAATATGGCAGAAGCAAAGAGGAACAAGGAACAACAAGCGAATATGTGAATCATGTGACAAGCGTTCATATTATCAAAGACTTTATTCAAAGATATACTTTTCAATTCTTGATATGCATCAATAAAGCTTTGGCCCAAATGGCATTGAAGACATGCAATTTCTGATTAACATCTTGTTAGATTTCAGGCTTATAGTCATGTATAACCATTTGCCAATACCATAGAATAAAATTCATTCTCTTATGGAGACATGTTCTACATGGCTAGAGGCTATATACCAGTACCAACGTGAATCTAAGCCCTTTCACTGATCACATAATCAAAGGTATTATAATTGCTATAAACATAGCGAATAAAATCACACGGGAAAAGAACCCGGAATAATAACACTGAAAAGCACGTAGCACATATAGCACATAACATACAATTGTTCCTATATATTAAACTCACCGTGAAATAACCGGGGGCTAAATATTAATTTGGGTAGTAGTTTGGCTCTAAATATGACTTTCGTCGTTGAAAACCGGGAGTTTTCTTGAAAACCGGTCTCTGCGAAGGTAGAGCTTCGAAACCGAAAAGATAAATTTTTCGGGCTTCTCGGGAGTCTCGGGGCGTGTTTCGGGCTTTGGAATCAGTACCGGGGCTTCGGGGGAAGTCGGAATAGTAAAAATATAGGTTTAAGGGTGAAAAGGTGTGAAATTTCTAAAGTTAGCTATGAGGGTTCGCACCCCTTATAAAGGGCCGAGCTTCGGATCCGAAGCGAATGGAAGGAGGCACGTGTATGCGAGGCTCGGACCAGATGGCAGCAGGGCAAAGCTTCGGGTGCGAGGTTTGGGACAGCTGGCTCGCTGACGGCAGCCTCGGATTGGACCTAACTTCGGTCCAATGGGAGGAGGGCACGAGGGTGCGAGGGTAATCCGGGGGTGTCTCCTGCGAAGGTATCCCTCGCTTAGTGGACCTCGAACTTGGTCCAATCACAAGGTAACATGCAAGGCTGCGGTCCAATCAGCAGCGAACACGTGTCTGACACGTGGAAGCCTCGCATACGAGGGTGACGTGGCAGTACTATTCATGCGAATTTTCTCGAAAAATGTGCCAAATCTTGTAAAATCCATAACTTTCACATATTAGCTCCGTTTTTGACGTTCTTTATATGCACGCGAAGCTAAAATTATGCTCTACAACTTTCGTTTAGACTTCGTCGGTTAATTTTGACTTTAATTTTAATATTATTATTTTTAACAGACCAGGATAGGAAAATCCGTTAAAAATTCATAACTTCTTCATCCGACGTCCGTTTTCGTCAGACTTTTTACCGTTACACTACTAACAATGAGACATTCAATTCTCGTTTAGGTTGTGTCGGCTAAAACTCACTCGATCTAAAATTCGAGTTTTTAGCTGTCTATTGCTAAGCTGAAACATCGAAAAATGATAACTTATTCATACGAAGTCAGATTCAAACGGTCTTTATATGAAAGTTGATTATTTTTACGAGTTCTACAACTTTCATTTAGATTAGTAAGGCTAAAAATTAATTTATCGAAAGCTAAATTTTTACGCGACAAAGTATTTTCCGGATTTATCACGGATCTTTGTTTGGTCATAACTTCTTCGTTATAACTCGGATTTCGATGAGGTTTTCGCTCAAATGTTTCTAACAAGATTATCTACAACTTTCAATAATAAAATTTTACTTATTCCAAATTTTATATTTTCGCTATATTTCACTATTTGATTTTTAATTGGAATCTCATAAGACTTCCAACATTTTATGAGTGATTCTAAACATAGTTTTACTTCATTTCTAGTAAAAACTATCTGTTAGAACTCAACATTCAAATTAACATAATATTTCATAATATTATTTACTTATAACACGATTTCAAAACGTGTATGTTACAAATACCTCCTCCTTTTGAGGATTTCGTCCTCGAAATTACATCGATTAAAATAAATTGGGATATTTTGCTCTTATCTCATTCTTGTTTTCCCAAGTATAATTTGGGCCTCGATGGTGTTTCCACTTGACAAGCACCAACTCCACTTCTTTATTACATAGATTAGTTGTTCTTTCATTCACGATCTCTTTCGGCTCTTTTACATATCTTAACTTATTATCCAATTTCACTTCGGATAATGGAACTGTCTCATCATTGATGCTCAAGCATTTGCGCAGATAGCTCACATGAAATACGTCATGAATACCTGCCAAATCTTCAGGCAATTCTAAGCGGTATGCTTGCTTTCCAATTCTTTGAATGATTTTGAAAGGACCAACAAATCTGGGACTCAACTTTCCTTTCTTCCCAAATCTCATAAGGCCTTTCCATGGAGATACCTTCAGCATCACGAAATCACCCACTTGGAATTCTATGGGTTGTCTTCTCTTTTCTGTATAGGACTTCTGTCGATCCTGGGCCGCTTTCATTCTTTCTCGTACAATTTGAATCTTATCGGTGGTGTCTTGAATCATTTCAGGGCCTCCAAGGATCTTCTGTCCTATGACTCGCCAACATAATGGAGTACGACACTTGCGACCATATAATGCTTCATATGGTGGCATTTTGATTGAAGCGTGGTAACTATTATTATACGAGAATTCGACAAGAGGTAAGTATTTATCCCAGTTACCACCGAACTCCAAGACACATGTACGAAGCATATCTTCTATTGTTTGGATTTTTCTTTCCGTTTGACCATCTGTCTGGGGATGATAAGCTGTGCTGAGAGCAACTCGAGATCCTAATTCACGTTGCATACTCGCCCAAAAGTGAGAAGTGAAGCGAGTATCACGATGAAATGATCTTTAGTGGCACACCATGTCTTGCCACAATTTCATGCAAATATACTTGCGCATATTTCTCCATTGGAGCCGTTTCACGCATGGCAAGAAAATGAGCGCTTTTAGTCAGGCGGTCGACAATTACCCAAATGCTATCATGCTGTCTAGCAGTCTTTGGCAATTTGGTAATGAAATCCATGGACAATTCCTCCCATTTCCATACAGGAACATTAAGACTTTCTGGGGTTCCATAAGGCTTTTGGTGCTCTGCTTTGACTTGTAAGCATACTAAGCATTCCTGTACATATCTTCCAATGTCTCTCTTTAATCCAGGCCACCAATAATCAACTCTTACATCATAGTACATTTTACTTGTACCAGGATGGATTGACAGTTTAGATTTATGGGCTTTATCTAAAATCTTCTGTCTCAATCCACCAATCTTTGGAATCCACAGCCGATTCTTGAATACTTTTAATCCTCGCGGATCATCAAGTAGAGCATCATTATAATGTATCATCCCTTCTTTCTTCACATTTTCTGGCTTTAGGGCCTCTTCTTGCCATTTCTCTAATTCATCTAAAATAGTGAATTTTACTGTAGTATGAGTAATGACATAACACATACTATTGCGATAAACTTTTCTGCTAAGTGCATCAGCCACCACGTTAGCTTTTCCAGGATGATATAAGATTTCACAATCATAATCTTTGATCAGCTCCATGGCTCGTTGTTGTCTCATATTCAAAGTTTGCTGCCTGAATATGTACTTGAAACTTTTGTGGTCGGTAAATAATTGGCACTTTGTACCAAAAAGATAATGCCTCCAAAGTTTTAGGGCAAATACCACTGCAGCGAGTTCGAGATCATGAGTGGGATAATTCTTTTCATAATCTTTCAGTTGTCTTGAGGCATATGCTATCACTTTGCCACGTTGCATCAAAACACAACCGAGTCCCAATCTTGAAGCATCGCTATAAACGGAGAAGTCATCATCACCTTCAGGGAGTGATAAGATTGGAGCATGAGTCAAAAGATCTTTTAGAGTTGAGAAAGCCCTTTCTTGGGTTTCACCCCATTCGAACTTCACTTCTTTCCGTGTAAGACTCGTGAGAGGTACGGCTATACGAGAAAAGTCTTTAATGAATCTCCGGTAATATCTCGCGAGACCTAAGAAACTACGAATTTCGGAAGCATTAATGGGCACTTCCCAATTTTGAATGGCTTCGATTTTGATAGGATCTACGTATACAGCATCACTAGAAATAACATGGCCAAGAAATTGAACTTGGCGAAGCCAAAATTCACATTTCGAGAATTTAGCATATAGTTTCTCCTTTCAAAGAAGTTCCAATACCGCACAAATATGAATGGCATGATCAGCTTTAGACTTGGGATAGATTAGAATATCATCAATGAATACGATGACTGATTTATCGAGCATTGGGCGGCATACCTGATTCATCATATCCATGAATAAAGCCAGAGCGTTTGTTAAACCAAACGGCATAACAAAGAATTCATAATGCCCATATCGAGTACGAAAAGCAGTCTTCGGTACATCCTGCTCGTGAACTTTCAACTGATGATAGCCAGATCTTAAATCAATTTTTGAGAAATAGCTAACCCCTGAAGTTGATCGAACAAATCGTCGATGCGAGGTAGTGGGTACTTGTTCTTGATAGTCACCTTATTTAACTCACGATAATCAATGCACATCCGCATCGATCCATCTTTCTTCTTGACAAATAGTATCGGAGCACCCCATGGATAGGTATTCGGTCAAATGAAAC